GAAAATGTCAGAGCAGCTCTGACTCATTAATCTTCTTCTATAGATGGTTCTGAACATAAGCCCTGGATCTGGACATACTCAAAATTTGGAGCCATTTTAAATTCAAAGACAGACTTGAAGCTGAACATATATGTTGACATCATCTTCATCTGGCTTCATTCACCTACTTATCAGGAAGCATCCTCATTGCAAAAGCTGCAAATTAATTGTATTCAGAGGTGCATGTATGGCAGCACGGAATGATAAGGGAGAACACTTGCAAGTCCATACTGGAAAACAGAATAGGAGCCTGCCTTGTTCAACAGAAACACAAGTACTTACTGGTCTCTATTAATCTAATATTCTCCTCCCTTATTACAGTAAATTACATTACAACTATTGTGCAAGGATACTGGAAATGCCTTAGTAGGCTACATGATGTGGTTCTACTGGATTTTATGCAAACTCTGCTGCTGCTTTTCTCATGCTTTTAGTCTGGATTTGTCTCTGGGCTGTTTTTGTAGAATGACTCTATACCACAAGCCCTGTTCAGAAAGCTAAGTAAGCAAATGCACAGAAACCCATTCGCCAAGAGAAGTCACTTACCTTTTTCACATCAGGTATATTAAAAAACTTCTTGGTATGAGCAACCCATCCCGCTATCCCGATGTCCAGAGGAAAAACAGTCTCATTGTCTGGTGTCACCAAATTCTCCTCAAAGCTGGAAGTTGGAGTGACATTGAGAAGCCTGGTGGCTACCTCTGGAATACCATTTCGGGAACGACAAACAAACATACTACACCGATCAGCTGCCAACAGCTGTGCCAGCCTCTGCAGGGCCTTGTGCACTATCTTTTCCATAGTGCCTCCTTCATCCTGGATTTCTGTTAGCAGCTCAAAAAGTATGTTACACTCCTCCAGACGGGACATGTCTTTGAAGCTGACTCCTTCCTTCACATCTCCAGGGCTCACGTTAAAGATACTTCCCAGCACTTCTGCCCTCATTTTTCGGTCGAAATACTCCTTGGCAAACTGGGGGTTGTTCTCCAAGTATTTTTCGACAGCATCTTTATTTACCTCACCCATTTTTGCTGGACTGTTCCTAGGATTTCTTTTAGAACTGCATCACCATCAAAGCAGCAGTGGTAGCAAGAAGTCCTGACTTGGTACTAGTAAGAAAATGGTACTTTGTACATATTGTGTAGCTCACAAGCATAGTACAGTCACCTTCCGTTGTGACTTCCAAGCCTTCTGAAACTCTTGAGATATGACAGAAGGCACTGGCTTAGCATCTTCTTAGTGTGAGATCTTGGAGACTGCTAATTAAAGAGATGTCAGGACACTAAACCCCTGAGCATTCTTAGCTTATAAATCCTAAGGGAATCATTTTAGCATTTTAAACTAACCAATCAATTCTTAGATTTTATAAAATTGTCTGATGTGTAGATGTGTATACCTGTATGTTATCTCCTTCATTCACAGTGTATATATTGTCATATGCACACAAAAGTTTCCACTGAAACTTAATATGAGGAATTCCACTTAGATACTTAGCCCACATTATACACGTGCGCAGATGTACACATGTGTATTTGTGACAGGTACTTAAGGGGAGGAAAATAGAATGTTACAGAGAAAATTCTCAAATTGTCAAATTTAGTTTTCCTTGAAATAGTCAGGAGACAATCAAAATTGGATTACTAGACCTAAATAATTATGAAGCTATAAATGCATAAAATGGGTGAAATCCTAAAGACTTTACAAAAGTCTCAGCTTGCTCAAGTGATTTATGCAGGTGAAGATGGAGGAAAAGAATTAGAATTTGACTCAGCACAGCCAGATATGACATATATAATTTTTTTCAAAAACATATGGCCTAAATCAGAAAATGGCTTGAATTCAAATTGAGTTCAGGAGACAGTAATTTTTTTACTCTAGAAGTATAAAAAGCCTGACAGCGTTCTGCAAGTGATGTAGTTTCTTCTATGCCTTCTTCAGAAAAAGTGGGAGATCTCTGCTGTCTTAAAGAGCAGAAATATGGCAATAATTGACAGACAGTGGGCAAAGAGGGAATCTTGAGTCTGGTTGTAGCTTTATAACACGTTTGAAGTTTCCTACCATCAGAAGTTCAGCATTATCCACCTGAATGGAAAAGGAATGATGAAAACTGTGTTGAATTTTAGGTGCAAACACCCCAGGGCTTCATGAGTGAGAAGACCGAGCTTAAGTTGAGTGTCAACTATGACAGCAAATTATCTGTGTTCATTGAAACAGATCTGAATTTCGATACAGTAGGAGGGCTGCAATACAATTAAGCTTATTTCTATTTGTGGCATTCACATTGATCAGAAGGAGAAAGAGATTCTTGGTATAAGAAAAAAAGACCATATACACTTTGGTAATTCTTAATTTAAAAATAGTAATTGTCAAAGTACAACTTTATCTGTCTGCCAGAGGCCACAGTGTGTCAACATCCATTTTTATTAACAGATCTGAAAGAATCAACACAGGCAACTGACACTGATCCTCTCGTGCACAAAGAACAGGCCAGTGATTGGTGTGTAATGGCAGCTCAGTACTTTAGTTTTATTTCTGACTGTGATGTGAAATGCTGTGTAAGACACTAATTTTTGCCAGATTGCAGTTGCCATAAAGATTTTAAAATGCATATGAAAATCAGCACAGTATGGGCTCAGTCTGGCTTGGTTCCTTTTCTCTGGCTGAGTTACTTACCCCTAGCAGCCTGAGGGACAGCATAGGACTCTCACTGGTGGGTGTGTGAGGTTGCAGCATCTTCTTTACAGGTGTGAACTGGTGATACTAGCTTTGTGGCAGGACTGTGCAACTGCAGCACAGCAAGATGTTCTCACCATTGTACGCATGTACAGTTCACAAGAAAACAGCAGAAGAAATGCACATATACCTTAGTCTGTGAATAGTTTCATGATTTGATCAATATGTATAAAAGCAACAGAGACTTTAAAAGAATTTTATATGTATTTATACATAGAGTTAAATTATTTCTCTTCATCTGTCATCTTCCTAATTTCTAGCTCAATGCTTTTCATGCTGCTTTTTGAAAAAAGGATGTTGAAGAGCTGCAGTGAAATTGTGTGAAGGAATAATAACTTTTTTTGCATTACTTGTTCGGTCATATTTTCTTACTGACTTCAGAACATTCTACATAGTAGTTTCTTTGAAGTAGGAATAGTCTATAGAGGATCTGTCTCATGCCAGCTAAAACATTCTAGAAAATTATGCTCTATTTAAGATGTACACATTCATCTTTATCACATGTAAGAAACCAGCTTTACAAACATTAGTTGTTCTTTATATTGTGATTATATCAATTCTATGAAATAAAGCAGTCTGTCACTCTCTGAAGGGAGAGTAAGTGAAGATAGGTAACCTGACAGAGTTACACTGTTTTCTTTGGGGGCAGGGGAGTTGGTGAGTTAACATTTTTGTAAGCTAACAATTTTATTATCATGTGTACCTGCTTTTTCAATATGAAAGATCACCTAAAATGCTTATCATGATTCCACCAAATCTCCCTCATGCCCAGCTGTTTTTACAAATTATAAATTACACTATTTGTACTTTGAGATAACAAATAAAGATCATGTTTTAATTAGGCACTACTGAAAGGTGATACATCTTTCTTTGTAACAAAATATTTCAGATGTAGCTGAGTTGTCCTATAATCATTCTTAAATCATCAAACAATAATTTTTTTTCCTTAGTTAGATTCACTCTTACAATTGTGCTCTTGCTCTGTAAAGTGTTTGTAAAATGACATGGAAAGCAGTATCAGAAACCAATAGAAGTTCTTTAGGAAGTTTATGTTTGGAAGACAGTGAAGTTGGCTTTTTTTCAACAATTGCTATATTAGTCAAGTAATGTTTCATTGTGAACTCTATGTACAAATTTATTAACCATGAATAATTAAGGCAAACCAAGAAGCTGAAGTGATTTGATAGAAATTAAAATGTAGTTTGGTACATAAATGTACCTTACATTTATGGAAGTCTGCATTTTAGAGATAGGAAGGTACAGTGTATTCGTTGATGTTTTTTGTTTTTCTCGTATTAGCATTTTAATGAATTTTGTAAATTAGACCATTTAAACATTTTGGAGCACTAGTGTTGTAATGAATTTTAAAGTTTCTGTGCTGGAATAAAACATTTATTTTTTGTTCCCTTTATCTCCTTTACTCCCTTTATTTTCCACATCGTTGAACATTTTATCTTTAGCAATGCTAATGCACATTTGTATTTAAGTTTGTTATAAGAAACTATAACAAAAGATTATTTCACGTTTCTGGCACTTTCAAACATGATTTTGCTATCGTCTTTCCTAGCAATTTTTTAATAAGATCACCTGTTAAGAAAATACATTTTAATGTAGGATCCATTATATGCATGGAGGTTTAGCATTGGAAACTAACCTCGCACAGGCATTTTGACTGCACTTTAAAAGGCAAAAATAATATGCATTTGGCTTTGATTCTTTTCCATGTTGAGTTTGTTTGATTTAAAAACATGATGAGCAGGGTGCTATATTTTTTCAAATTGTTTTAATTTCAGAGAATATCAGAAATATGTTTGCTTTGTGATTTTAATACATATGATGTCATTTTCCTTTGACGTTCATAGTTGCTACTGAAATCAAACTATTTATGGAGTAGTTCTTAGTAGTAGACCATTCCTGAGCCCTTGTGATACATGGAAACTCCTAAGAAGGATAACCGACAGACGTGGTTATTTAAATAGATTCAAACAGCACGTAAATGTCAAAGGTATTTATAAGGTTTCTCAGTTCAGCTCAGTGTTTGTATCTGAGCATCTCTGTCCATCTTGATAGCAGTTAATGTGGTTCATTCAATTAAGATTTTCTGAAGAAACAGATCAAATGCGTTTATTTCAATTGCATGGCTTTTGATGTGGGTAATTTTGTGGCCACTGTCTGGATGTCAGAGATTCATGTGTAATCCAAGAAATTAATATTCAGAAACATTATTGGTTTTTTTCTAAATGATTAGGTTGTGAGAATGGATTCTGTAGGTATTTACAAGTACTGTGTGCTCTTAACACAGTCAGTTTTTGGCACTGAAATGTTTTAGTGTCACTGATCTGGTATGTCTTGGGGACCTCTATAAACAACCTCAAATTTTATCTTTCTTTTAAAATAATATTCTATCCCTTTTCTTACAAAAATGTAAACACTGAAGATAGTAAGTTAGATGCTTTTTCCATACGGCTGCAAATTTTCATGGTCCCTTAAAACTACCAATGATTAGCTCTGGCAGTTCGTGAAATAACTAGTCAACAGAGAGTTTAGATTCTAAGGGAGGCTTCCTGAAGTAAATGGCCAGTCTAGCATGAAGGGGTTAACCTGGGTTGCCAGATGCACTGTAGCTTTGACCATGAGCATGGGTTTCTTGGTAACTTGGCCTGAATTTTAGTATATGGACCGAGCAAAGGATAGCAGCCTTTGAATCTCATCCACTCTCACATTTACTCCCTGGTGATCTTAGGTTACCTGACCATTTTTGATTACTGAGCATATTAGTCAGCACTGCTGAGAAGGGTCTGACTCTGTCTTCCTCATACCTACCTGCCAGATATTTATACACTTGATAAGATCCCCCCGAGCCTTCTTTTCACGCTGAACAGTCCCAGCTCTTTCAGCCTCTCCTTTTGTCAGATCCTCTTCCTGTTCAGTGATCTTCGTGGCTCTTTGCTCGACTCGCTCCAGTATGTCCATGTCTTTCATCATTCATACTTTAAAGCTCTCCTCACCAGGCTGGCCAGCCTGTTGGCAATCTTTACATCTTTGTTTCAAGTTGTTTCCATTTTAGTAATACAACTAGAAAAACATTTCAATTCAGAATCATAATCCTCAGAAAGGTTTGCTGAAGATAATAAAGGTACCATTTTAAACTAGGTTTATTTAAATACTGTTTATGAAGAGTTCAATGTAAATTTACTCCTTGAGCAGAATGTCACGTCATTGAATTACAAAAACGGGTAGCACACAGGCTGGCATGGTGCAAAGGCCAATCTTTTCAATTCCATTCTATCCTTGACCTCTGTACTCAGACTGCCACCAAGGGGAACAGTTGTGATGGTGACAGTGTACATAGTTGTCCCTTACAAAGTACACGGAGCTCCTTGGCTCAGCTCATGCCATTTGTTGTCACTTGTTAATATGCATCTGGTTCCACAGGGCAGTGGCTACACTTGGGTCCACTGCTCTGTGCACACAGCAGTCATTCATTCC